GATTTTTCAAATCCCAAACATTAAGTTAAATTGTTCAAATGTCTTTAACCCGATCAACCCAATTCATAAACACCCTTAATTTAGATGGTGGCAGGGTTGTTAGTGGAGTAGTAGCTGAGGAAGAGCATGCCCATATATGAAGGTTTCCAATATGAGACATTGAACATGGTCTCCAAATTTTTTAGGGTCCAGTTATACATCTTTTACTCAATTATATGTGTTGTGACCTTCAACCGAATTATGCTTGTTTAGCCTAGTTATAATATTTTGGTCTTTTTATCCCTAAAATATGAACCATGTGATAGAAAATGAATTAAGATTAAGAAGTATTAATGGACATTTACCACTTAAATTTTCAAAGAACATTTAGAGCTTTTAAGCTTTTATTTTAAAAATAAAACAAACGCTTTTAACAGGGCCGGCCCTGGCCACGTGCAGCTCGTGCGACCGCACATGACATCAAAGCCTAAAGGGGCATCAAGTTGTCATTTATTACTAGTTTGGGTTCAATAATTTGAGAATTGGACAACTGAGCTTTAACTATAAAAACAGACCCAAGGCCTAGTAGTGACAAATACTGAATGCACATCGTTGGAAAAAGTTGGAAAAGTTTTTGTTTGTATAAAGTTGTCTATACGAATAAAGTTGTCTACATGAATTAATCTGTTTGTATAAGTTGGAAAAGATTTTGTTTGGAAGAGTTTTTTTTTGTAGATGTAAGAAGCATTTTTTTAGCTGTAAGAGACATGTTAAAAAAAACTTGTATTTCTATATAAAGCTCCCTCTAAAAGTTTACTGGATATGTCACTTTCTATATCATTAAGCACTATGAAATAGTCATGCATAGTTGAGCGAATAAGCTGTTAGTTCCATTAAAGTTATCTTAAGCTGCTAACAGATAGGCCCTTAGCTTTTAATCGTTAGACCTGTAACTTTTATGTTTTACTTTTTGCTTACTATGACAGTAATTTGGATGTAATATACTTATTTAATTAAAAACTAATTATAGTTTTCCTTGTTTTTTAGGTCCCATATATTGAAATAAAGTTTATATTTTGTTGGAAAAGAAGGAAGTACGATCTTAATCTAAGATTTGTTCTTTTATCATTTTATATTTTGTATTCGGGGTTTTGGTTTTTTTGTTCCCCCCCTCCCCTTGTGTTTTTTTTTTATAATTAATAAAAATTAACATGAGGATGAGATACTTAGCTTGAATAAGTTCTAAATTTTTTAAAAATTCGCATGTTTCGTTGTTTCATTGGCTTAAAAAAAAATAGGCTTAGAGACATTTTTTATTATTTTTGCACAGGGTATCAAAAATCTTAGGACCAACCCTGGCTTTTAATATCCAAATGTCTTAACAAATTAGGGTTAAGTTGTATTAAGAGATAATTAAAAAAAAAACAAAACCCTTATTGTGAGACATTTGACGTCCATCAACGAAAACCAAAACAAAATACAAACACTAATATTAGTTTTGTAATGAAAGAAATCAAGAAAAAAAAAATTCAATAAATCATAGGGACTAAAAATGTAATTAACTCAAAGAAGAAAAAAACAAAGGTGTGAATCGTACCCTACAACTCAACTTCACCTCACTTGCATTTACTCATGAAGCCGCTGCGCATTTATTAGGTATCGAGATGCACACCTTCAAGTTCCGTGCAATGCCAAAACAACTAATAAAAATTATTAAAAATGTGTTTGTTTGTTTACCTCTTAATAATTTTATTAAAAGACAAGTTTTGAGTTGTTAATAGTTGAATTGTTAACAGTTTTATGAAGTGACATAATTTTTTTTTTAAATTAATGCTAATTATATAATTTAAATGTAAATTTTGTAATGATGATGAATAAATATGTGAAACTGTATAAATTTATTTATAAATTCAATGTTATAATTTTTTGAATGGTGTAAAATTAAACGATTTAAACAAATTTGGACATTCATCATTTCACAGAGATACGCAATTTTATTGATTTTGCTTTCAGATTTTAACACCACCTCTTATCAATCATAAGTGAAATAAGATTTCAGAATTCAAAATATCTTAAGAAAACAACACCTTAATTAACAAAAAGAGTAAAAAATTTACAAGCTACACTTTAACAACTTGTGAAATCTATTTTGTGTGGATTTAATATGCATAAAGTAACAAATTTATAAGTTGTTAAAGTGCTATTTGCAATATACTGGATAACACTTTAGCAAGTTGAGTGAGTAGCATTTTAACAATTTAGCAATTAATAATTCAAAGCATCTCCAATAGCCAAAAGTACACTAAATGGTATAATGAATAGAGAAAATAAAAGAGATAAAATAGAAATCTTTAAATTTAGAGAAAAATCTAAAATTATATCGAAGAGAGAGAAAAATATATTATAATTATTTTCCCCAATAAAAAATATTGAAATTAAGGGGCCGTTTATTAAACACTTATCCAGTAAGTGCTTACCGAGTAACTTTTTTTACTGGATGAACATGACAAGAGTTAAAAATCTTACCCGGTAAGAGCAATGATAAAAATGAAGAGTCTTACTCGGTAAGTGAGGATGACGACTCTTACCCAGGTAAGTGTTTACCGGGTAAATTGTTGAATACGATACCACTTTGATGTACTACAATCTTACCCGATAAAATAAATCATAGTGTTGACTCTTAAAATTAAACGCTTACCGGGTAAACATTTAGGTAAACGCACCCTAACTGTGTAGGTGAGAGAATTAATATTTGTTAAATGTATTAAATATTTTATTAACATAAAAAATGTTATAATTGCTAAAAGATAGTAGTTGTTGAAATTTGAAGTAATGTTTTTTAAAGATTTTAACTTTTCATTTTCTATTATAGAAAAATTATAGCATAATCTTTGGAGATGCTTTTAGCAAATTGCATAAGTGGTACTCCACGTCAACATTTCACAAATAACACCAAAAATATAAATATTATTTTAGAAATTTTAGAGATTTAAGAAAAATTTGCTACAACAACTATGTCAAACTCTACTATAAAATAGAGAAAAACGAGAGAGAATGAACAAATTTCAAAATAAAAAAATAATAAAAAATATAGCATATCTGTTGAAGATGTTCTATTGATATATCAAATTGTTACTTTATGAATATTATACTCACAAAAAGTGGTTTCATAGGTTTTTTTTGAAGTATATAATATTTATATACGACAAATGTAACAAATAAATTCACACATCCTACTCATCTTTAGTGAGGTTTAAACCCTTGACCGCTTAAAAGACCAATGACTCGTATATCATTCAAGTGAAAGGCCCTTTGGTGGGTTTCATAGTTTGTTTAAGTGTTATTTTCAAAATCTTGACTACTTTTATATATTATATACAAAAACAAATGAATTAAGAAGATGAAAAAAATGATTCTTTTGGACAATTTCTTAAAACCAATTCATTTTTATTAAACTATTTCGTGTTTTTTTTTTTTTAAATTATAGCATAATTTTTGGAGATGTTTTTAACAAAGTCGTATAAGTGGTATTTCTATGTCAACATTTCACAAGTAACGCTTTAACAACTTACAAAATTGTCACATTATGATTGTTATATTCACAAAAAATTGATTCCACAAGTTGTTAAAATGTTACTTTTCAAATCTTGGCCATTTCTATCAATTATATACTAAGAGCAATTTCAACATTTTCTCCAAGATGGGAAAAATAGAGAAAATAAGAATTTTGAGCCTATATTTTGCTCCAACAACTTTTCTAGAACTATCTCTAAAATGAAGAAAGTATGAGAGAGAAAAGTTCTCCAAATATGGAGATTACTTCAAAAAAGATTACCAAGTGAGAACATTAATAGTAAATTTTAAAAATAAATATTTAGAAAGAGAAATAATATTTTAATATTATAATCAACGTTGGATTCTCTAATTAGGAATAAAAAATGATCAAAGCAAGAAAGTTAATAGAACAAGATGGATTAACTTACAAAATATTATAGAGATGAATATAATTTTTTTAAAGATTTTGATTTTTGATTCTCCACTTTGGAGAAATTTTGGGTAATCTCTTGGAGATGCTCAAAGGGTCTGGTCGTTAGCAGTTTACGAACTTAACGAGACTTAAACTTATTCAGTTAACTATACATGACTGTTTGATCATGACTTAATAATATAAAAAAATAATGTATTCAGTAAGCTTATAAAGAGAACTTTATGTGAAAAAAAGCAAGTTTTTCCGAACTGTCTTTCCAATTAGAAAAACACTCAAAAATCCATTCCGAATAAAAACCTTTTCAATCTATATTAGAGATGGCCAAATGGGCCCGGCCCGGCCCGAGACCACCGGAGGACCGGGACCGGGACCGGTAAGGACCGGTTATGGGACCGAAAACCGAGACCGGTTGAGGTTTTTGGTAGTTTCGTGGGACCGGGACCGACCGGGACCGGTTATGGGACCAACTATGGACCGGCCCGGCCCGGCCCGAAAATTCAATTAATTTTATAAATAAATATATTTTTAAATAATTTTATAATATATTTTTATAAGAAAACGTAATTTTAATTATATTAAAACGCATTTTTAAAATGTATTTGAGTGACCAAATTGTAAATTTTATAATGTATTAAAAATATATATCATTAAAAAAATAAAATAAAAAATCTTATTTTTTTAATGAAGGACCGGTTGGGACCGGTTGGGACTGGGACCGGCGGCCCATAACCGGTTATAAAGTACCTATACCGGTCCTATCATTTTCGAATGAGACCGGGACCGAGACCGGTTACGTCGGGACCGGTTATGGCCGGTTATGAAAATGATGAGGACCGATTGAGACCGGTCCGAAACCGGTTTTTGGCCATCTCTAATCTATATAAATAGATTAATCTATTCTGACAACTTTATTCATGAATTAACAAGGTAAAAAAGAAAAAAACAACTATTTTGGACAAATTCACAAATGGAATTCATTTATACGAGAGATATAACAAGCAATACGAAGATTACAAGCCTTGTATGGACCATTATCGTTCGAGTGAAAACCCAGATGCCATTTTCTTCGGTTAACAAAGATTTCCCACAGATCTTCACATTTCACTCCATTTCTTGCCCTAAAAAAGCTCAAGAAATCTTGCCCACTTTCATTTCAAGAGATCTCAACAATTTTGCATCAATTTCAGAGATCACCCACAAATTCTTCATTAGGGTTTTATGATTTCTTAAATCTAGGGTTCTTACCTTCATACCCAATTCATTTCATCTTCAAACACCCCCCCTCTCAAATTTTATCGATTTCAGATGAGGGATTTCCCTTCTTGCTTTGGTGAAAATGGTGTTCAAGTTGCAGATGCTTCATCTTCTTCATCAGGTGCTTCCATGGCTACCTCTGCTACTACTACTAAAATCAGTCAAAATCTTGTTTCTTGTGTTTATCAATGCAGATTACGCAATTTCTCTTGTTTCATTATCACTTTTACTTGGACCAAAAACTTGATGGGTCAAAATCTCTGTGTTCAAATCGACGATTCCACCAACCAGTCTCTCTGTAAACTCGAGATTAAACCCTGGTTATTCTCCAAACGGAGAGGGTTTAAGAATTTCGAAGTGGGCTCGATATTAATCGACATTTATTGGGATTTATCGTCTGCGAAATTCGGTTCTTCACCCGAACCGACCGAGGGTTTCTATTTCGCCATTGTTGTGAATCAAGATTTGATATTGGTTTTAGGGGATATGGAGAAGGAAGTCCATAAGAAGATAGATTCATCCAAGTTTACCCCGAACGTCGTTTTCGTTTCGAAACGAGAACATATTTGTGGGAAGAAAGTTTACTCCACAAGATCTCAATTTTGTGGAAAAGGGCAAATTCATGATGTTTTGATTGAATGTGATTTGATGGGTACAAATGATCCATTTCTTTTGATTCATATAGATGGTAAAATTATGATGCAAGTGAAGCATTTAAGATGGAAATTTAGGGGGAATTACACGATTTTAGTCGATGGTTTGCCGGTTGAAGTGTATTGGGATGTGCATAATTGGCTTTACGGGAAGTTAACCGGTGAAGCTATTTTCTTGTTTCAAACTTGTTTTTCGGCTGAGAAATTGTGGGCTAATGATTCGATTCCTGTTCCTTCGAGTTGGTCAAATTCGTTTCGTAGAGATCCGCATTCGCAAGGTCTTGGTTTTTCGTTGGTGTTGTGTGCGTGGAAAAACGAGTAGACGTATGCTTTTTGTCGTATTCGGGTTTTTATGCAAGATGTTATCGGAATACATACTTATTAACTATAATCAATGCATTATCTTATTTGGTTCTTTTGAATCCTTTCTTCTTAACTTCAATGTTGATGAAATTGGTGTATTTGTGCTTGATGACTCTTTTTATACGTGTTGCAATGATGTATTTGCTCGTGATGAGCAAAGTTTCAACTTTGGTTATAGTTGATAAGCTAGCTGGTGGCTGAAAAGTTAGCTGTAGCAAGTCAAATCTTGTACAGTTCGATTGATGTGGATTTCAAGACTCGATAGAGATATTGTTGAGACAATCAAGTAAGCTTCATACCATTTTCATGGTTTAGTGTGTGTGTATCTACATGTATATATAGACTTGGGATCATGTGAGACCAACTTGTTTTCGTGAGACCCGTGAGACCACTTTTTTGCACTTGAAACTTCAGCAAAACGTTGTGATGGTTACCTTCACAGTGTTTTGCTGTGAAGTTTCAAGTGTAGAAAAGTGGTCTCACGAAAACAAGCTGGTCTCACGTGAACCCAATCCTGTATATATATATATATATATATGTTTAGTTTCGTGTGAATATATGTTAATTCACAAGAAAATTCTATATTTACATAAACTTGTAGTATGCATTATATGATATTAATACATCTATGGTTATGTATGATCATCACAACATAATCGGCTTTATAGAACGCTAAAATTGTTTGAATGTCTTAACAGACTGCTTTATAGGATTAAGTTTATAGAGCCAAACAATTGTATGTCTTATGTAAAGTTGTTACAACAGGATGTTAGGACATATTTGTGCATCGTAACAAGTTTTCTAGGACATTTTTGAAATAAAATGTCATATTAGTTTTTTTATAGGACAACTTTGAGATCTGCCATATGGTTACGTTTTTTATAAGATACTTGTTTTATCATACAGTTTTTCAAATAATCTCATATAAAAAGACTAATATGACGTTTTATTTCAAAATTGTCCTACAAAACTTGTTAGGATGCCCAAGAACGTCCTATCAACTTATTGTAACACATTTACATAAGATGCATAATTGTTTGGTTCTATAAACTTAAGTCCTATTAAGCAGTCTATTAGTCAATTAGAACAATTAGACAATATGACGTCTTATAAAACCGATTTTGTTGTAGTGAATGAAAGAAAACTAACGGGACTAGATGAAATTTTTGACTCATTGAATTCGTTGCCCCTTCGGTTTCACCATGCTTGTGATACATTTTACCATTTTTATCGCAAAAATATGTTTTGGATTGGCTATAAAGAAGCATTTGCCTTTCTTGAAGCTTGATACCAGAAATCTATACGCAAACCGTTCAGTAAACATCAACCGTAGTAAATATGTTGATTATGCATCGGGTTTTAACCAAATCCACAACGTATATAAACTTTTTCGTTTCTTTTTCTGACCAAAGGGAAACTGCCACATGGTTCGGGAATCAGAGGATGGATCGGAAAAGAAAGACTTGACAGAAATTGGTGACGGTGGTTGCTACTAGCATTAACAAGAGAAGAGGTGGTGGAACCGATAGCGGATTTGAAGCCGATACTGGGGTTAGCACTGGTCGGATGCCTGAACCAGCGATTGGAGCTTGCCTAATTGGTGCTGATGCATCGGGGGCGTTGGGTTCCTGATCTGCCCCTGGATCTGGCAAGACGGCTGGAGCCGTTTTGGATGGTGTTGGTGCCAACATTGCTTTCTTGGAACCTGATAAACGAGCGATGAAAGAAAGGTATCAGTACAAGTACCGATCTTTTCGGATTTTCAATGTTTTTTTGCATTGATTTGGTCCATACCACTACAACAAGATTGGCTTTATAGGACACCAAAAATGGCTAAATGTCCCAATAGAATGCTTTATAGGACCAAACAATTATGCGCTCTATATAAAGTTACAGGAGGGAGGTTCAAACGAAAACAATAACCAAATAAAAGAACACGAAAATGACCGAATCACGTGCAAATCATATATGATTTTATACTAACAGTCAACGCAAGGGTGTGCGGGCGACGTGGCTCGCAACCTCAGGTGACGGCCAAAGTCGTATGAGTCACGTGTGATTTTACGGTAAAATCACATGTGTAGGACTTGACTCGGCATCCTAACAAGTTTTTTAGTACACTTTTGAAGTAAAAATTTCCTATTAGCTTTTTTTTTTGGAAGGGTGTTCCTTAGACTAATCCCGACAAATTGTAACTGCAAGAATTCAGCCCTGATAAACTCAGTGGCCACAATTGTTGCGTACTTCTGGAATCGAACCTGATGAGACATTCCACCACATCCTATTCTTTTAGGACACTTTTGAAGTAAAAGGTACATATTAGCTTTTTTACCGGACCTTTTTTTTCCAAATAATATTATATAAAAAGACTAATAGCACGCTTTATTTCAAAATTGTTCTAAAAAGCTTGTTAGGAAGCCCAAAAAGCGTCATATCAACTTATTGTAACACTTTTTTACATAGGACACACAATTGTTTGGTAAACTTTAAGTCCTATAAAGCAGTTTATTAGGACATTTAATCATATTTTGCATTCTATAAAGCCGATTTTGTTACAGTGATATAAGTTTACGCTTCTTACCACTAGGACTCGGTGGCAATTCCGGAGAATCAGCAGGTGGCGGAAGAGCTCGAGGTGCCGGAATTTTGGGCGGAGGAGGAACGAATAACGCGGGGCCTGCAATACATAAGTTTTTGCTCATCATCATTATCGAATTTCAGCATCGTGATGTAATCCTTCTGTCACAAAATAATCGTCCATATTTCTGTTTTAATTTGTCTCAAACTAACATTCCGCACTAAGAAATAAGTGCCTACTTTTTAATTCTACCTTTAATTATGAGATGGATAAATTTATAACTTCCTCTATTGTTAAGGATAAAATTGTCATTTAGTTAATTAAAAACTGTAGTAATTACACATTTCTAAAATTGTCTGTGTTTTTTCAGCGTGGACATTTATTTTGGGTAAGAGGGAGTATTATCCTGTTATTTTAGTCGAAGAATACCTGCAGGAGGTAGAGGAACACCGGTAGCTGCAAAACCGACAAAAAGAACAGAACTGAGAACTGTACAAAAGTAACAAGAATCGATACTAAATGAAATAAAACCCGTCAAAACCGTTACATTTGCATTGCAGCGGCACCCTTTTAGATTTACACGCTTTAGGGAGCGTAATGGCCAACGCCTGATTGATAGGATTTGGTAACGAAAAAGCCACGTTTCCTGTAACAATAAGACACATGCACTCCATGCTTGTGGTCGTGAGCGATTCCACCGCACTACAGCAGCTTGCGGTCGGTGATCTGCCGTTCGAGCTACTCCCAGTGACGAAATTTACACATGGGGTGAAGCTAGTGATCATCGACACCGAGCATGGACTGCTGATTTGCCCGTTAACTGTAATTACCACCGAAATAGATAGAATTGCAGCCAAAAAGCTTGCAAAATGCGCCATGATCGACGAAAAAGAATGGGGGTTTCGGGGAAATTTATTGGTTTTTTTTGGGTCAGAAAAGATTTCTTGAGTTTTATTATAAGGGGTTGAACCACCTTGACCGGCTAGGTGAGCGTTTGGTTGAGCTGGTTTGACTTGAAGCATGTTAGGATTTGCAGTCAAGTTAGGTTAAACTTTTCAGCATATTATTGCTTGTTAAGAGGGTGTTTGGTTGGTTTCCATTAAGTCCTGTGTTGATAAAGCTGTCGTATGGATTAATTTGTCGGCATAGATTGGAAGGTTTTTTATTTTTATTTTTACAATTAACCTGGATATCCAACACCGCTATGCGAGCTGACTAATCCCAGGGAGACCACCTGCTTTGCAGATAGCCCGGAATCACCGCATTTGAACATTCGTAGCCACAAGGGGATTCTAATTCCTCATTGGATTTGAATTTCAGACCTCTTGGTACTTTTGACATGTGGAGCTAAGCTTAAACCAATCAGGTATCACTTTTGTGGTTGATTGGAAAGTTTTTGTTTGAGAGAGTTTTTTTTTTTTCATAGATGGAAGGATTGCGTTTTTTAATTGGGAGGGGCATGTTTGACTAAAACTTGGTTTTCCGTATAAAGCTCCCCCCTATAAGCTTGTTAAATAAACCACTTTCAATATTATTAAGTCACTACCAAACAATCATATATAGTGGACCGAATAAGTTGTGAGTCACATCAAGCTCAGTAAGCTTCTAATAAACATGTCGTTGTATTATGAGTATGAGTTCATGTTGATCATAATATTGTTAAATCTCGACTTAAAAGCTTGATTTTCGTGTAACTTTATGCCCTGAACGGTTTTTTGTTAAGAGTCCTTATCGTCTGGATGACAATTTCTAATCAATATACGTTGGAACTTTCGTTTTCTTCTTAGGGACTATTTTGATGAGTAATCTAAAAGGGTTTCATATATTTTCACATGGTATCATAGCAGTTTACCATTTGCGGCATCTTTACTAGGACTACACTATGGGACAACTTTGCCCATCTAGCCTCCTTTAGAAGAGAGGGGCATTGGAGCACATCGGCTAGACTCTGACACTTTCTGTTCAATATATTTTGCAACCCCTGTTATCTCCTCAATATCCTCACAATATCTGACTTCTAGAGCATCTTCAACAACTACTATAAAATAAAGATATTGGAAATTATTTTACTCCAACAATTACTCTAAAATAGAGAAAACAAGTGAGAAATTATAGATCTCTAAATTTGGAGATATTTCTAAAATTCAATTTCTTGAAGGAAAAAAATATATTATTTTAATTGTTTCTATCGACAAGGTTGAATTATTATTATTATTATTATTTAAATTGCATTGAAATGATAAAATTTATAGAACATTTTAATAATATAATTAATGTTGAAATCTTTAAAATATAGTATATGTTGGAGTTACGTGTAATATCCTTTTAGAAATTTTAACTTTTGATTCTCTATAAATTTAATCTGGTGTTTCCTTAAATGAGTTGTATTTCTGCTTCTGACATATAGCTCAGTTGGTAAAATGATGGAGTGACTTTCTCCAAACACAAGAAAGGTCATGTGTCTGTCCTAGCCCTCAACTAGACTTAGTCGTGCTAAGTGACCCAAATATGTCTCCTCATATTGGTGTCCTTAAAAGCGGATTCCTTGTGAGGTTGGTTAGAGCTGTGAGTAACCAATTTTTTTGTCCAAATTAATAGTATCTCTTGAAGTTGACCACAAGAGGTGGTCGTTGGCGACTAACGGTGGTCAACGACAGAGCTGATGGATGTCGAGAATGGGAATGGAGGACAACTAAAGTCTTCAGCAGGCTTTTGAAAAAAAAAGAAAGACGCTAAAATAGTAGTATTTGACAACCTGTCCCAAAGTAAACAGACTTACGTTTGACATTTTGAAATCAAATAATCTTGGTCTAGTGATCCCAAATCATGGTCTGGGCCAAGCCCGCCTGAAAATACCCAGCGTAAAAAGTTTGGAATAATTTGATTAAAAGGCCATTTATCAAACACTTATTGAGTATGCACTTATCATGTCACTTACCTTATTGAGTGAACATTAAAATGATCGAGAATCTTACCCGATAAGAGACACAAGAATGATCGATAATCTTACTCAGTAAGTGAGGAAGAAAACTTTTATATGGTATGCGCTTACTAGATAAAAAACACTTACCAAAAACCCATTTTGGTGGTTGAGAATGTAACCCCACAAGGTAGATAAGGAAAGGTGGAACCTTTGCTGGTAAACGCTTATTGAGTAAGTGTTTGATAAACGGTCTCTTAAGTCTGAAAAGGTCTGTCCAACCCATTTTTCAATTATAAAACACGACTTGAGCCTAAAATACCCGTACATTTTTTCTCTCAGTAAAAACGAGTTTGAAAAGTCTGAACCTAAGTCTGAAAAAGGTCAAGCCCTGTACATCTCTAAGGGGCTGTTTACCAGCACCTACCCGAGTAAGTGCTTACAGCCAAAATTTAAAACTATCAATTACTTGCCGAGTAATATTTTATTTCACCAAAACGATATCGTATGCAACAATTAACCTAATAAGTGATAACCGTGGTAAGAGTCGTCGCCGTCACTTACCGGGTAAGACTCTCAGTCCTTACCTTCACTCTTATCAGGTAAAATTCTTGGTCCTTGTCATATTGATTCGGTAAAGTAATGTGACTTGGTAAATATTTACCTGGATAAGCATTTGGTAAACGCCCTCTAATAAAATAACTTTTGAACAAAATTGGTTGTGATTTATTAGTGACTATTAAATGCGGAAATTGACAACCGATTTGATTTCTATTATCCTAAAAGTCTTTTGTTGATAACTTTGGGCGACTAAATTAAAAATTGGTTGGCATATTTACAATATACTACCTTACATAAACTTGGAGGGCTATTTTTGACGTTATTTAAAATCCGAGCGGTCGTTTTGGGTAATGACATAACTTGAGGGGCTGATATGTAACTTTTTTGTTAACACGCAATATGACGACGTTTTATTCTTTCTAATTTGCAAATTCTCACCATATTTGGGAGGTTAACAATCTACAGTGCAGAGGCACGTTCAAACGAAAAAGGCGATAATGATAACTTTCTCTCTCTCGTCTCATTGCTCTGCTCCTCCGCCTGTAATTGTTTCGCCGGGTTCCAATCGCTCCGGCGGTGTTTTCCGGTCGGAACTCAGTCTCAGTCTTCGAACGTCTCCTTTTCGCAATAAAACCCTACGCCTTCACAGTAGCAATTCGTCTAACGGACAACCGAAGGAGGGGTCGAAGTCGAGCTCGAGCAGGTTCCTTAATGAGGATGGTGTGGTGGAAGACATGGATGGATATCTCAACTATCTCTCTCTGGAGTACGATTCCGTTTGGGACACCAAACCTTCCTGGTAAATGTTATCCACTTTTTACTGTTTTTCTTCTTATTTCCTTTATTTGTTGTCTTCGTTGAGCTAGATTTAGTTAAGTTATTGTTGCATCGAGAAGTTGATTTCAAAACTGGATTACGAAAACGATAAATCAATGCTTTGGTCTGCATCTCTGTTATTCTGTTTTTTAAGTCGAGCTTTAGCTGTTTGTGTAAATGATACTTGAGAAGTTTTTAGCATTCAACATTCTAAAATTGCGTTTAGGTAAATGTTAATCCACTTTTTTACTTCTTTTGTTCTTAATTCCTTATCTGTTGTCGTCGCTGAGCTAGATTCAGTGAAATTAGTGTTGCATTGAGTAGTTGATTTCTGAATTGGATTAAAGAAACGATCTGTATCTCTGTTATACGGCGATGCAATTGTCTTTTAAGTTGAGATTTAGCTGTTTGTATAATGACAATTGAGAAGTAGTTGGCATTCGACATCTAAAATTGCGTTTGGAACACCAAACCTTCCTGGTAAATGTTTATCCACTTCTTTTGCCTTCTTAATTCCTTTATTTGTTGTCGTTATTGAGCTAGATTCATTCAAATTATCATTGCATGAAGAAGTAGATTTCAGAACTTGATTAAAAAAAGCATAAATCGATGCTTTGATCTGCGTCCCTGTTATACGGCAATGCAATTGTCTTATGAGTTGAGCTTTAGCTATTTGTATAAATGACACTTGAGAAGTTCTTAGCATTCGACATCTACAATTTCGTGAGTATCTGTTAAAATAGTAAGGGGAAATTTGTATGTCAAAATTTCCACAATCACAATAGGGAACAAAAATTCAACAGTTCAACAATTTAATTATATTTGGAGAAGTTGCTAGAATTTTATTATACTACGATCTTATGCTTCTTTGTGGTGCACAATAGGAAACATAAAATTATACACTGGTATGATTATTAGCCTAAATATAGAGAGGTTGCTAGATTTTTTTTGAAGTATATAATATTTATATACGGCAAATACAACAAATAAACTCATACACCCTCCTCACCTATGGTGAGGTTTGAACCCCTGACCTCCTAGAAGGCCAAGGGCTACGAACCGCTAGGCCAAAGGCCCTTTGGTAGGTTGCTAGAATTTTATTAGATGATTTGGGAACTTTTTGTTAGTACAAGTACACAAAGAAACATGTCCTGAAAATATCAGTCAGCAATAGGATAAGAATTAAGATCGAGGGACTACTGTTCATGACTGCCTTGATGTTGTGGCTCATTTTCGATCAAAATTATGTCCATATCTAACACCCAATTTGCTACAGTTGTTTCATAGACATATTGTTAATCTTATCCTATTTTATATCAAAACCCAACTAGACTTGGAATCATGTGAGACCACAAATTAAACATGGATACTTCACAACTAAACGCTATCAAGGTACAAAAAAACACCGAATCTTTACAACAAAAACACTATAAAGGTTCAATGTGTTTTTGTGCCTTCACGTCTGGTTTCACGGGTCTCACGAAAACATGTTGGTCTCACAAGAACCCAACCCAACTATATATAGGAAATCTTCCCTTCCATATGACATAGGTTCATGCTAGGCCTTCAGAGACATGCATATCTGCATTTGAACCGAGTTATTTGATCAATACATGTGACCCAATTAAGATATTGTATGAAAGTATGATTTCTTCCATCCTCCTTCGAGAATTGGAGGATTTTTCAATGTGTGAATCTAACAAAATGCATGTATGTCTGGTAAAGGATGTCTTTAAACAACCCATAGACCATAGTTCTTTCCCCATTCCATTCAAGGACTGCAGTCCTTCCATCATCATTGGGGAAGTCTAGACTTGACAAAAATGATTTTTTTTCTTGTGAAATTTTTGAAACCCATATTTGTTTGGTTTAACTTGTTTGTTAGGTGTCAACCATGGACAATAACCCTGACTGGAGCGTCGGTTATTGCTGGCAGCTGGCTAATATTGCACAATGTCTTGGCTACTTCGGTGGCCACTACTTTGATCGGCACCTGGTGGTACATATTTCTCTATTCTTACCCAAAGGTACAAAGCAAACAACTCAGAAAAACTGATCGTTCCCAATCCTGGTGTGAAAATTTAGCAAACACAAGAAATTGGTGTTGAGATTTGAAGTGCATTGATTTCTTTCGAAGTGCATTGATTTCTTTCTTTATGTTCAGGCATATACGGAAATGATTGCTGAGCGAAGGAAGAAAGTAACTAGTGGCGTTGAAGACACGTTTGGCTTAAGAAACAGTCCTTAAATCTTTTGCTGGAAACCAGTATCACATTACAGGCAGGAGAGAGTTTGATTTTGGTATGTAAATTGCAAACTACTTTTCAGTTATAGATAATGCCATTGCATTAAAAATTACCTCTAGTTATATGCACTACTAGTGCACAAACTCTGCAGCAAACAAGCATAACTTTAGCAGTTTAGCCTACAAAATGAACAAAACTGAATGCCTTTTCCCGAACCATAAAGCCTAAAAAGAAGGCTAAAATACATATTCAAGCCATCCAAGAAAGTACATGAGCCACAAGACATGAACCAAGATTCCAATATCACCAAACTATCCACAACAATTTAATAGTAGCTCCTAGTGGGTTGGGCATGGCCCTTGGGGTGCTTTTGGTATGCATAGCACATTTGGGGTGCTTTTGGTACGCATGACACTAACAGTGCATAACCTTGTAGCACACTTCGGGGGCTTTTGATACGTAGGACACTTACAGTCCATAACCTTGTAGCACATTTTGGGTGCTTTTGGTATGTAGGACCGAGTGACCGTTCACAACCTTGTAGCACAATTGGCACGATATTAGACGGAGACGGGAATAGACCCAACATGAGTGGGACAAAACGCATTTTTTCTGTCGCAAAAAAATCTATGGAACAAGAATAAGGGAGATAAAGACGAGACTTATTGTAAATTACTGAACCACTCGTGTCAAATTAAAACCCTCCACAATTATTTTACTATCATGTCAAATTAAAACCATAAAACCCTCCACAATTATTGAACTACTCATGTCAAATTAAAACCCTAAAATCCTCTGCAAGAACAAGGGAGAGAGAAACATTCCAATCCTGTCCGTCCGCATCTTAAAAGTACAATTGGGTTGCATATCTGCCAGCTTCAGGTCTAAAAGGTTGGTGGTATGTACAAAAATTAGGTTCTTAGATATATAGCAGCAACTCGATACATAATGTTTGCCATAGAAACTCCATGAAATAACTGCTTCAACCCTTTTATAAAATCAAGGTATGACCCCGTTTAACTATGCAAATATGGTATACAAATCAAATTTTAGTTGTAATGGAATATAGAATGATCATAAAGAGACAAACCCTCCTCTTAGAAGCAACCACGTTTGCCGTAAGAAATCATGGATTAACGTATACAGAAGTGGCAGTAGATAAAAGTATACATCTTATCAATGCCATTCACTAACTTGGTTGAACCCATATTTTAATTGTTCCATCACCAAGAAGCCCTGCAGAAGCGATCATGTTCTCGGATGGGTGGCAACTTACAGAAACAACAGTATCGGTATGCCCTTCTAGTTTCTGTAGCAAGTTCTTCCCCTGTAAATCCCAAATGTAGACACAGTGATCCTCCGAACCACTAACAATGTATTTGCCATTTGTGACGGAGAACGTGGGCGTTATGCAATACTTCTTGTTTATATGACCCGTATACATCTTCAAGAATTTCCCAGTAGAGTAGTTCCAAAGCTTCTACATTCACAATAACAGAAAAGTAAATGTTAGAGACACATCCCAGCCATTAAACTTCATACAATCCTCTGATTTCTGCTATCAGAATCTTTTAGTTTTGTTATGTTTGATAATACCACACCTGCACCATTCCCTATCTAGAAGCACGGAAAACATGGAACATGATATTTACGTGGTGAGGCTAAATGAACCCCTCTGTGTCTAATTGAACCCTCCCGACCAATTCCATACCACACACCAATGTTTTGATTCGGCTCAAAGGGGGTTTATTTAACCTAGGGGGTTCAAATTGTAGTACCGTATCATCTTGTAAGACAGCGTGTGGTAAGAAAAGCTCGGTTTGGTTAGCCATATGTTAGTTTTTTCTTAAAAGCTACTTTAGGTAGTGTTTCTATAAACTGTAGGGGGTTTTTTCCATGTCCTTTATAGTTTTCCAATTAATTTTTCAACATATCATTTTAGTTCATTTTACATTGCTAATTTTTTACTACCTTATCAACTAGTTTTTATTGAACATGACTAGTTTATAAGCTAATTTTTTTGCCAAGAGCTAGTTTGCCTAACATAAGAAATAGGTGCTCAGGTAAGGAATTGTAAGATAATACAAAATTATCCAACAAAAATATGCGAATCTAAAGATGGATTCTAAAAACTACTCACATTGTTTCTATAAGCTCTAGGTTTTTTTTTTTCACGATTATTCCCATTACAGTCTTCCAATTAATTTCAAATCAACCTTTATCAGCTAGTTTTTGCCAAATGCCCAAACATGACTAGTTTATAAGCTAGCTTTTTGCCAACAGCTAGTTTGCCTTAACATAGCCTTAAAGAAACAGGCACTCAGCTTAACATAGCTTTAAAGAAACAGGTATTCAGGTTAGGAGTCATAAGATAATATAGAATTATCCAACAAAAGTAAGCCGATTAACGATGGATTCTAAAAAATTTAAGTAGTGTTTCTATAAGCTTGAGTGGCCTTTTATAGCTTATGCCAATTATAGTTTTCCAATTAATTTTTCATCATATATCGTTTTAGTTCATTTTACATTATCATCTATCTTATCAACTAGTTATGGATTCCAGAGGTTGGCAGGTTTTAACTTGAATTTGGCTCCATATCCAACAAATTTCAGCTACATTCTTTAGGTTTTTCCAGATCTTATTATCTCTCTTCAATCAAATTAGCTTCCATTTCAAGTTCATGTCCCCATGATTCCATGAACATCTTAGAATCCCAAATGATAAGAAAATCCATGTTATCTGCTATATTTTAATTACATAAACCCAAATTAGCAAAACTTAGGGGATATTTGGTTGGTTTTCCGTCAAGTCATGAATAGATAAAGATGTCCGTGTGAATTTATTCTGTTTGTTAGCAGCTTAACGAGCTTAATGGGATTCATGACTTATTCGGTCAACTATTCATGACCCTATGATAGACGTAGAAAGTGGCTTATTCAGGGGCTTTATGCAGAAAATCGAAGATTTTCCCAAACCTGTCCCTCTGCTTCCATCTATGAAGAAATCATAAGCAAAAAAAACTTTCCCACAAACAGCTTTATCCATCACATTTAATAAAAAACCAACCAAACGGGCCATATGTATAGCTAACCTAATAAGTTCTTTAGTCTTGTTAAGCTCGTTAAGTCGCTAAGAAATAAACAAACAAGTCCTTAGATCAATTACACAAAAAATTAACCCAATTTCATAAGCAAATTAACTAACCAGAGTATCGTCAAGTGTAGCCACGAGTATAAATTTCCCATTAGGCGAGAACTTGGTAAAAGAAACCGCCGGAACCTTGTCGTCGATTAGCGTCTTCAAGCAAGTTCCGGTGGCAGCATCCCAAATCTTACAGCTACCGTCGTGACTACCGGAAACAATCAACGATCCATCACGGTTAAAATGAACAGAAGTCACCGGTAACGAGTGAGCTCTGATGACGTGATTAGTCTTGCCGGTTTTGACGTCCCAAACCCTGATGGTTTCGTCGAACGATCCGGAAACGATTTGGTTAGATTGGGTGCTGAAATTGACACAGAAGACGAAATCAGTGTGGCCACGGAGGGTTTTGACGCACTCGGCGGCCCGTGCGTCCCAGATGCGGATGGTTTTGTCGTCGGAGGCGGAGCAGATGTAGTGGGAGTCGGAGGACCAAGCGAGGTCGGAGACGCCTTCGGAGTGGCCGATGAGGCGGGAGATTAGGGTTAGGTTTTGGGCGTTCCAGAGGATGAGGGTTTTGTCTAAGGAGGCGGAGGCGAGGACTTTGCCGCTGTTGCAGAATTTGACGCAGGAGATGGCGGATTGGTGGGAGGTTAAGGTTTTGACGAGGCGGTAGGGGGCGTATTGCGGTGGTGGTTGGACGGTGGTGTTGCTACCCATATTATATTTTCAAGCCAGTATACGGGTGTATTGAAACGAATTTGGATCGTATTTATAGGGGGTGGGGGTGGGGGTGTATGAAATGCGTGAAGCTTGAATGTTATTTGTTGACGTGGTTAACATAAATTTTTTAAATTATAATTTACAAATAACTATATAGTTATAATAAAATAAATGTTTGAAACTTCATATTTTATATTACGTTTTAATGGAATTTCCCCAATAAAGAAATAGATATATATATTTTTAAAGTTGATATTTATTTTGAGACAAATTAAAATGAGAATGTGACCACTTATTTTAGGACGAGAGAGTAATTATTTTCCTATTGTATTTTTTTTTCGTTTAAGACTGTTTAAAATAAGTTTTTGGTTAATTTTCTTTTTAAATAATTTACATATTTCATCCCTATGGTTATATGTTTTTAGTGGTCATTTTCATTTTTTTTTTCCAAAAATTCAACAGGTCGTATCCCTATGGTTGTATTTCTACAATGAGTTGGGTCCTTATGTAATTGTAGGACCCAAGTTGTTGATTTTTTTAAGGACGTTGTTAAAAACTGCAACTACAAGGACAACTTATTGAAAAACACTACTATAAGAACACTACCCATTGAATTTAAAAAAAAAGACAAGTACCGCTGAAAACATCTAACCATATAAACATGTAATTTACTCGATTTTTTTCATGTAAGATTGTCTTTAATATATAATTTTCTTAAATAAAATATAATTATTTCTTAAAAATGTCAATTTTCTTCTCTATGCATCATGTCAAATATTATATATGTTAAAAAATAGTGATATTTGTTAACTAAATACTCATTTTTTCAATTTTAAAAATATACCACATCATTTATTTTTGGATAGATTAAAATTTAAAGACTATTTATTGATCTCAATAAGATTTGTTCTGTTTTGTATATGATAATCATTACTTGTAAAGTCGCAATTAGTAATTTCTACTGTAATTTACGCATTTTGCTTATTTTGATTTTTTATTATGAAATTTACATGATTTAATAATAAACTATTTTTATTAATATATGAACTAATTTTAGTTATATTTTATTAATGACGGTTTAAATAAATAGAGCAAATTGTCGTCAAGTCAAGTAAACGAGAATAATCAAATGAGTGATTCAATAATTCCGATATTTTAAATAGTTTTATGTTAAAGATAATTCCATTATCCTTTTTTAGAAAAATAATAATTACTATAGTCTAACATTTTCAATGTACAAGGTTTTATGTATCTTAAAAGGACAAGATTGTTTCGGAAAAAGCTAGATTACTACAATTTCGATCAGCCTTACATGAAACCCAACTTTAAGGATACTAATGTGAGGGAACTTTTTTTGGCTTACTTAATGGACCATCATTTTGCCGACTCAACGAGAGATGAGAGAGAAGACAAAAAAAACATTAATAGTTTAATTAAACCTATTTCAAGTTAAAGATCAAATGTCCACATTTTTAGAGTAAATTACGTTTTTGATCCTTATGGTTTGTTAAAGATTGTGATTTTTGTCTCTATGGTTATGAAATTGTGGCTTTAGTCCCTATAGTTTCCAATTAATTTCTATTTTTTTTTCTGAGGCGAACACTACTTTCAACTTTCAAGTATTAGAGACTAAAATAGAAATGAATTGTGAGCCATAGAAACGAAAATAGCAATAAATTTTAAATCATAAGGACTAAAACAATAATAAGTTTTAAACCATGAGGCTGAAAATCGTAATTTCAAAACCACAAAAATAAAAATAGAAATTTTCAACAAACCATTGTGACTTAAAAAAGGTAATTTACTCAAATTTTTATTTTAGTTTGAATCAAAATAAATCTATTTTATAAAATAACTGCTTATTTTCTAAATCTACCACTAATCATGAAATAGAGAAATTCATACTCATTTACTCCCTCGGTAAAAATATCATTTAATTAGTTGAAGAATCTAATGTTAAACATTTTCTAAATAGGTTTTTTTATGAACCATATATATATATATATATATATATATATATATATATATATATATATATATGCTAATGCCTCACCTCCTCATTTACCACCTATGGGATACCATTACCATGTTAGATAACAGATGCTAATATTTTCTCAAATCGACTTCTATTTTTGGTAAACAGTAAACATATGAGCATTAACTTTGGGTAATGGTCTTTTCCCAAAAAAAAAAAAAAAAACCCTTACGGTGATGATGATTAATAGGTTTAATCAATCCCTGACTTGGATTTTAGAACATACTTTTTAAAAAGATATTCATATTTAATAAATTTTATCATTTCTTCATTTAAAAAAAACTGTTAAAGCAAAAAAGACCCAAAATCTCAAAAACCTCAGGATTCTCTATTTTAAAGGATGAGATGGACTTGCAAAGCTTACACCCCGCTTCCATTTACCTTTTCCAAAAAAAAAATTAAACGAACGTTTCATTCACCTAAATTAATTTTGAAACAAGACTTGTTTAAGAGGGTCATATAACCTTTTGTGTTCAGGGTAGCTCAACTTGCTCCCTAATGGTCACCCATTCAAGTTATTCAAATTCGTCAAGGATCATTGGAGGTTTTCTCTATCGTTAACTTTAGGGTGTCAAGACATTAGTTGAGATGGGCAGAAGCTAAACCAAACACCTACAATTATAAAAAAAGTCGTCCATTCCTTTTACCATTAAAAGAAAGCAGAACAGCTCCAGTGTGGTTAGTCCTACAGATCCACAAGGCCCGGGCAGGTTATTTTTTTCTATTCAAAACAAATTTGGCTTGAGTTGCCAGGCCTGGCTTTTTTTGGGTTGGATATGGCCGAGCTTCAGGCTTTTGTATACATCTCCAGTAAGCATTTGCGCGATATCGGCTGCAAAGAAGAACAAACTTCCAGCCATAAAGAGATTACCGCGGCTTCATATGCCTTTTAGAGGCAACTTGCATGGCATCAAGTGCTTGATGAACATGGTACGAGATCGGAAGACCTAAGGTTGATCCAGGGAAGGGATACACCCATCTCCCAGAAAGGGTGAAGTTAGTGACATAAATCTTACAGATTAGAAAGATTCAAGGTATCAATACCATGGTCAAATATGATTACCCCTGACCCAATCTATATTACTAGATCTGTGGAGGATAGTACAAACCCTTTTTCCACAACTTGGTATAGGTTCTCTGAACATTTGTACTTCCACCCGAACTATGCACAATCACATCAAGTTGCCACCTGCTTCGACCTAAGCTGTGTTTCTCTGCCAATGTTTAAAGCCTTGATTGCTTCTTTGATTAACACTCAATATCCGGGCAAAACAAGAAGAAAGCCGAATTACCAACAGGCCAGAACCAGTGACAAGTCCTGATGACAAAGCGTGTACAGAGACGGGAAAGAGAGAGAGAGAGAGAGAGAGGTTCAATGTCTCCCAGTGGTATCTGGATTATTGGTAGACCCTAGATCAAGGGTTCAAGTCACACCTAAGGTGAGGAGTGACTGAGTGAGTGTGAGTTTTGCCGTATATTAATATTATATACTTCAAATATAATTTAGCCAAGAGGGTTACATAAGAAAAAGTCGGATGATGAAGCAGATGCAATTTAAACATTAGATACATCTGATGCAGCAAAGAAAGTGGTGTTTCACAGGAAATTATCTCTTCTTGCAAAAGGATTTCCTCAATTCACCATTACCCAGCTTTACCAGCTTGAACTCCCTGAATTGGCAAAATGACTGCTAGTGAACAACACCTATAACTATATATGGTAATAAAAACCAACAGATTGTGAAGGCCACTGGGCAGCCTAGCTGGCTATGGCATAAGATTGTTCATGCTTAATTAAGGTGCATTTGGTACACAAACAGGACTAGGCTAGCAAGAGAGAGGTAGAGAGGGAAAGAATTGTGGAATGTTTTAAAGTTTTAATTTAACATGAGTAGTTTAATAATTTACTTATCAAATCTCCCTTGTCTTTGTAACACCTATTTTGGTGTTTTTGTCCCACTTGATCTTGTCTGGTCTTGTGACATGTCCGAGTCTAATTGTTGGGGACAACAAATTTTTGTTTTGTATGAGGGTGCTACATAGATTGGACCGGACGAGACAGACGAGAGCAAGATGGCGGACGAAAGAATTATATAAAATTTTAGGGTATTAATTTCACATGAGTAATTTAGTAATCAATCTTGTTTCATTTGTCTGATTTTTGTTCCTCTTATTTTAGCTGGATAAAAAAGTACATTTTTGTCCCACTCAATCTTGTCCTGTCACAGTCTAAATGTTGCACCAAACGTATGACAACAATTATTTATTCTGTCCTTTCCCATCCCATCACATTGTGCGTTTAGAACACTGAACATGATAGAACAGAATAGAACATGGATCACGTTCCACGCCAGACATGACTTTTATGCGGAACAAACAGGAACAAGGTGAACAAACATGTATTTTACCAATATACTCTCAAAATAAAACCTAATTCTTTTCAAAAACATCAAATATGTCTCCCTCTTCATCCATTCTTTAAATTTTATTTATTGTATTTTATCCTCTTTAAATTTTCACTTTACTATCCCAAAATATTATTTTTATACGTCTTCTATATTTTTGTTAATTTATGTACTTTATTAAATATCAAAATATAGAAAAAACATAAACAACTCATTAAGAGTAAATTGGTCATTTTACCGGGGTCATGTCCTGTCCAGTCTTACCAAACGCTGAATAATTATCCTGGCCTGTTTGGGTACCAAACACAACTTTAAAGATATTAAACAGGGAGTTACCTCATTATTGATATTCCTCATGATTGATAGTACTCAGCCAGAGAGAAAGTCAACCTCATCTGAACTTTCTTCATAAGTTACAAAACTGCTTTCTGGACCATCCTCATTATCACTACCTTCACTATCAGAGCTGTTATCTGATGTGCTCATGAGGAATGATCCATCAGACGCATGGCTGCTTAACTGAGAAGGTAAGCTGAAGTCACTGTTTAAATCGTTGGTCATCGGTTGTTCAACGTCAACGTAGCTGCAGCTTTTAGATACGAGAGCTATGAAGTTTAAAGCATAAATTGAAGATAATAAGAGCCTATATAGTGATTTACCAAGTGACATGCCTACCTTCCTTTCGGAAACTCGGCCACCAGGCGGAAATTAGGCCTTTCTTCCAATAATTGCTTTACGGGAATGAAACTGTGAAACACAGAAAATTTATTAGGTCCCCTTTGGTTTGCATGATTGGATTTGGAATTGAATTCCATTCCAATCCCATTTTTGGGTTGAAGGATTTCGTAGATTTGAAATCCCACAAACATAGAATTCTAAAATCCTATGTTGATGGTTGGTATTTCACAGCATTTTGTAGAATTTGTATATAATAATGTTTTATAATATGTTAAAAACATTTATTTCGTAATAATCAATTAATAAAAAGGTAATTAATTATTTTTATAATTATTTATAATTTGTGTTTATAAGTTATTTATAAAGAATGAAGTTCAATTCCATTCCAAATCCTACAAATCAAACACACTAAAGATTTCTAATACTTCCAAATCCAAATCCCTCCAATTTCAAATGCTTCCACATAATCCAAATCCTTCAAAACCATTAAATCAAACCAAACGCCCCTTAGACAATTTATATACAATATTTCACTAGTGGTAGGACAGGATAAACATTAACAAGCGGTATTCTCCAAAATGACCATAATGCATAAAGAAAGTGAAAAACCAACGAAGTTTTTTCAAATTTCCATTAAATGACCAGTCAAATCGTCAAAGGATTACGTCATTGCCAATTTTCCTATTACTATCAAAGCTTGTACCCACTTTCTTAAAAAAGATGAGAAGAAAATCCATGCAAATAGCTAAACTGTGAGGTTCTTGGCGATTTCCTGAAATCACCAACCAATGACAGAGTGACGAAATTCTTTGGTGATTTGGGTGGTCATTTTCTTATTTTCTTTATGTATTAGGATCATTTTAGGGATTACTCCATTAAACAACCATACCTTGCACTATAGCATCTATGAAACCAGTCACCGTCAGATGCTAGACCTTCACGGTTGGATATGTCCTGTTTAAGGAAATCGTCAGGATTTCAAGTTGTGAAACCAAATAGGGTTAAAAAAAATACCACTCATGGGGGACCTACCGTGAAATACTTTTTCGGAACTTGCACAAAATAACCATCCATTTCGTAAAATCCAAGTATTTTACAAAAGATACTTTTTGTTTGAAAATCCAACAATTTTAGGTTTTCTTTTAGAGTTTTTGTAGGTCCAAATGTAAGTGCTTTTTTTATTTTGTTCCAATTCTAATGTACAGATATTCTCCAACAGGTATGTTTTATTTTCTTTCTTGACTTCTAAATTTAAAGATTTCTTCTTTGTCACTTCTATTTCTTTATTTTAGAAGAGAGATTAGCAATAACTGTTGAAGCAAACTTTTCTCTAATCTCCACATAGTTATTGATGCTCAAAGCGTTCTTTCAAAAAAATAGCAAACATAGGGATTTTGCGATTTTTTTCAGAAGTTTCACAAAGAACCCCCAAAATTACGGGATTTTAGGCACAAAGTGATTTTTGGCAAAAACTTGGTTTTTGCGAAAAGATTTTGTGAAATAGGTGGTTAATTTGTGCTAGTTCCGAAAAAGTGGGTAATTTTGTGGTGGGTCCACTTCAGAAGTGGTATATTTTTGTGATTAACCCAACTAATTTAGGCAGCAATTATAGAGAATGTAGTAAATCTACAGAGAAGACGTGTTTTTTACGCACAAGATGTCGAAAGAGCTTGAATTCTCCTGCAAGAACAGCTCCCATAAACCGCTCAACTTCAATCTGCCAAGGAAATGTTTTAGATTTGAGTATGTTATGAAGGAAGGGAAAGAGGGTGGTGAGACTAAAGCAATGTAGCCCATACATCTTTGAGATGCATACAGTCTCTTAAAACCATGACCTCCAAATGATTTCCACCACCATTGGATCCAAGGTTCCTGCAATCCAAACTTCTAATCAGGATCACAGCCAAAGATCAGCAAACTAAATCATAGATACTCCATGTCTCTAAATAAGTGTCTACATTTTCAGTTTAGTTTGTCCCAAAGTAAGTGTGATGACACTTCCAAAAGTACTTTTTAATTCTACCATTAATTATGAGATGGAGAAATCATTACTCCCTCTATTAAAATAAGAGGGAATTGGCATTAAGTTAATTAAAAAGTGTAATAATTTCATACTTCTAAAAATCGTGTCATTTTCAGTGTACTTTAATTCTGGGACAAAGGGAGTATTATTTACTAGTTGAAATCAAGGTTCTAAATGGTGTGAGACATGGCGTAGCGACGAGGTCAAGCCTCAAGCCTTACACGCCACGACAAGGACGCAACGTCTTTCAAGACGTGATATAAGGCCTGCAAATGTCACATCTATAGTTATGCAACCGTTTACATTCCGACAACCCTTACAACCCAATCAGGAGCATCCATTTGATCATCGACGGTTACCATTTGATTGGTTGTAACTACCTTAAATAAAAAAACCAAAAAAGAAAATAAAAAAATGGATGGTGGATAGGTGGGTTGCAGCGGTTGTATAATCTAGAGTAGTTGTATTTAAATTCCCTCCCCCCCTCTCTCTCTATATATATATATAATCGGGCTCATATGATAATGATATCTATTTAAGATAATAAGAGAATGGTTTTACACTAACATCACGTACAAAATCACATATGACTCTAAGCAACCTTGCCACACGGACATAGGGTCGCCTGAACACTGTTTCAGCCGTTAATGTAAAATCACATGTGATTTTGTACGTAATTTGGCCATTCTCTTATTTTCTTAAATAGGTACTATTCTCGTATGAACATACCTACCTCTATATACACATGTTTTGTATTTATTATTTAAGATAATTATATTAAAAAATTGCATTCATATTATAAGAAGAAAAATCATATACATTAGTATATAAATAGTCTGTGATCCAATAGTCAAATTAGAATTTGGAAGGGTATTACAACTTCGTTTTAAGTACTGTGAGTCCATGACGTGTATTGGATCCAAGAAACTATGAGTGTAAAATATAAAGCTAAACGTATAAAAACACAAAATCTAAAAAGATAAAAAAAAATAAACATTTAAAAAAATAAAAAAAATTAACACCTTTAAAAATAAAAAAGATGAACTTTTTTTAAAATAAAATATTAATTTTTTTAGAAAACAAAATATCTATACTACCTTATAAACCAGATTTATCAAAACTCTTAAAAACAATTTTTAATACACAAAGTAGTATACATTTATGCACAAAGTCTTAAAAGTCTTAAAAACAACTCATAATGCATTAAGTACTACTACTTTATGCATTCAGTCTTAAAATCACTTAATCTACAATTAAAATAACATATTGTACAAGTTACCAATGCACATTATTACATTTTCTTTTCATGTTCCCAAGATACTTTTGACACCTTTCACTCATGCCTTCACTCTCTTATACCTCTATGTCTTCTCCCCGTCCCCTAAGGTGAGATTCAAATTGATATTCACCATGAGTTATTAAAAGTTCTCGCATTAATCTCTCATTCAATTGCTCTAGAACTCTCGGTCTCGCTCTCGATCTCTTGATTCTTTGCTCTTGGTGTAAATCGAACACATTTGTGGAGTTGTTTAAATATGTTGGATTTTAAACTTTGGTGTAAATCGAACACATTTGTGGAGTTGTTTAAATATGTTGGATTTTAAATATATTGGATTTTAAACTGTCATACAATTTTTTTCATCAATAAACTTTAATTGGAACCAGAACTCTTATTTATTCAAATTGTATTAATATCTAAAGACCGAGTGTAACTTATATCATCATTAAATCTTCTCTAATAAAACCAGTGAAACTTCAAAATCGTTAAAATTCATGGCTCCCGCCACATTGCGCGGGTACACAACTAGTTAAATTGAAAAAAATCGGGCCTTGTAAAAGACACACGCCACAGCGCCCACGCCTTACACAAGCATTATAGATGGCAATGACGCGTCTTATGACATGACCAATCTTTTAGAACCCTGGTTGAAATATAAGTTTTATGATTCACATGCGACTGGGGCACTGACCTCAAAAAGGTACCGGTGAATGAGTAAGACGTAGAAAAGTCCACATACTTCAATCTGCGAAGCCCCTGAAATATCGGTCGACACATCAGAGTAGAATGCAAGTACAAAATAATTTATCAATAGGACACTGTGCATCATAAATAGTTCCAGAAACATACCTTCACCAGCATACGAGCCTTGTAGTCTTGCAACTTGAATCCTTTTAGTGCCAGGGTAATTATGTTGGGGCAATTACGCACAAATTCATTGCAGGTTGGGTATTTCAAACCATCATCTCTACCTGTGTATGGTAATCAAAATTATCCTACAATCTCTTGCAGTGCCAAAAATGAAACTTACAATGAATATTAAAGTTTTAAAAGGCGTAATCGGGCCTCAATGCATTTTCCAAGGCGAGGCATAAGCCCCGAGGCGGACATACATATACACCAAAATATGTATATACAATATAAGGGCATTGGTTAAGTGGTTCTTGATTGAGAGAAGAAATAAAAAGTATGGGCTTTGACTTTTAGTTTTTTAAAATAAGATAAAAACAGTTATACTATAAAGAGAAGTACTATTCCTGCTATAGAACTTACAGAAAGAAAAAGCCAAAAAAACCATTATCAATGCTGATCATCTGAGGCGTTTGCCTTGACAACGCCTCATGCCTCAATGACCCGCCTCACTGAACCAAGGCGTAAGCCTCGTCCAGGGTCCAAGAGGCACGCCACAAGGTGTACGCCTCAAACCATTTTTAAAACCGTAACAAACATGAAATGAGATGATACCTGTTTTTGAAGATTCAAAGACCAGACGCTCTATCAAGGGACAATGCTTGCTTACCGATTCCAATGTATGCCTCAACTCAACATGCCTATTAACAAATATTTTCTTCTCTTAGACCATGGGACATAGCAGCAGCATGTATTACAGGATATAAAAGGGATAAACGTACTACTGGAGATGTGGGACTTTTTTGCTGAGCTACAATACAGAAGAAGGAAAAGCAATTTTATTCGCAGTGTAAACATCTCGTATAAATATGGATAAGGAATTATAGCAGTGCAATTTTTATTGTCAGCTTGTATTACTTCAAAATTGTTGGTGATTTTAGTGTCATCAAGCATTATAAGGGGCTTACTTAGGAATTCTAAGTTTCAGGGCAATCTGAATGAACTTCAGAAGGTTTAGGAACCTAGTATTTTGGAGACTAAGTATGGATTCAGAAGTCTCTGTGTTTGCATCAGAAGCTTCTGATTGAGAAGGGTTCTGGCTCAGAGCTTCTGAGCCTGACGTTTCAATCTTATCCACAAGTAGTTATAACTGCTATGCAGTTATTTTACGCCTAACTACCCATAACTATCGATCTCTCTTGTAAATATATAAAACGGTTAATCTAGTGTATATATACTCGAGTTTTCTGCTTAAGGACCACAGTGTATTATTGGATTATCCCAAGTATTTGGAAAGTGCAATTTATACACAATCCAAGTGATTGTTACCACGAAAAACCAAATTCTCAACAAAAATGGTAAGAAATTTCAATTTTCTTCAAGTTCTATGCAATTATAAAAAAGTTTATAAGGCCTTCGTATTTAAGATAGCTTTGAGATTAAGTGGAGTTACACACTTCACATAGAAGGTCACAAATTAGTGGAACTACATTGCAGTGTTCAAACACACTCTACGGTTTTGCTATTTATCATGTAATATAGTCAAATACAGACTTAAGAAAGAGTAGACTTTTGCTTCCATTTCCACATTTTACATCCATTCACAAATTAGTGTAACTAAAATGCATATTAATACATAGAAAGACATGTATTTAGACCAGCACACTATAGATAATAAATCTGTGGCATCCACACTGTCTCTCGCTGACTAGCATACTTGATACAAAAAAACAAAACAAAACAAAACGGACTTACAGGCCCACGATTTCTAGATCAAGCAGAGAAGGGCAAGCTGATAATGATGCCAAGAGTGCTGTATTATCCATCCTTTCAATATTGAAAAGGTGCAATCTTCTCAAACGAGCCCTACCAATTATAATTGAAGAGAAAAGAGAGAGTGTCAAAACATAAAGACCATATGAAGCGGATTGATCAAGTCATAAAAAATAATCACAACATACCCAGGTGCGCCACCGCCATTCCCGCTCAAAGAATTCAAGCAGGACCTTGTTAGAATAGAGGACTCTTTTCCTTGTCTGGATCGCTTATCATTCCATGAAACTCCTGATGCATCGGTAGAGTTCCTAATACTATAAACTAATGGCTCAGATGAACAGAAAAGAGGAGATGCACAGGGTGGGAGGACACCAAGCTTGATAGACCTTCAAGTAACAGAACAAGTATATAGTTATAAGTATATGCATGTTGCAGTATACAGTTATGAAACTATCAACGAAAATTTTGCAACTAGCGTATGAATGTCTATACACATAATACATCACTCTCAAAATCTCTCAATATTTTAGCGAATTAAGGTATCTGTTATCATATGTGTATCTATTGCAACCTTGCAGTTTTATATTTTCTCAATCATAATTATAACAACTTCGTTCCTGGAATGTCCCCTCGAAATTGCAACTATTTGTCTAGGACCAGATATTAACATTTTACAGGGAACACAAAGATGCCTGAATGGCCTAGAACATCTCAATCCAATTGATCCATGTTAAGTTAGAATGATACTAAGTAAACACAATCATGTGTGGCTTCTCACAGAATGACAAGCAAAAATTGACGATATAAAACATTATATACACCCACAGATTACACAAATACAGACAATAGAGCTTACTGAAGTGCATTTCCAGCTCGGCCGATCATCGAAGAGACTACAGCATTGTTGACCTTGGGAACTGACGTAATTAAATCAATGTTAGCAAAACACAAAGGATCCGCAGCACACTTTTGAAAAAACGAACACGTAGCCGCAGCGTAACATACGCTCTGCGTATCAAGCATAGCAAAAACCTGCAATCATCATTCAGACTCCATCAATTCGGATCGAGTTCGACTAAACTTAAATTCAACTGAGTCAAACAAATCAAAATCGATACAGAATTCGAAATTACCTTGATCGTGAGATCAGGAGGAAGAGGCCATACGACTGCGTTGTGAAAGGAAGATCGTTTACGATCGGACCGTTTTCCGGCYTCGAGGAGAACAKAACCGAGGTGAAGAGCGMTTTGGATCAAGTCGTTTTGATCGGAATCAGATGACCTAGATTTGATGAGACTGTCGAAAGAGGTGTTGATTGAATCGAAATCGGAGACACCTAAGAAGGATTCCAACACCGTATCGTTGTCAAAGCGATCGTCGTCAGGTTCCGATGACATCGTTGGTGGAGATTTGGCGGTGGAAGGTTCAGAACAGCAAGGACGTTTGGCCATGGAAAGACCGTCACCAAGGGGAAGGGTATCCATTACGAGTGGTGAACAAGAGGGAGTTAACAAAACCCTGTTTCTTTACCAGGGACAGTAATTTCGGTTAATGTAAAAATGTAATAGTTTAAGGTTCTCACTTACAATATTCTACTTTATCAAACTAATATACAACAATTTATCCGATAAATAAATAAAAATTACTTATTTTATGAAGTAGATTTTAGTAACTTAAAATGACATCATATGTAACAATTTATCTGGTAAATGTTAATCAGGTAAAAGTCATCACTCTCACTTACTTTACTGAATAAAATTCCAGTCCATCAAAATGATATTGTATGCAACAATTTATTTGATAAATGTTAACCGGGTAAGAGTCAACACTTTCACTTACCTTACTAAATAAAATTCTAATCCATCAACATGACGTAGTTTGTAACAATTTATCAAGTAAATGGTACACAGGTAAGAGTTGACACTCTCACTTGACTTACCTTACTAGTAAACTCTAGTCCATTTAAATGACATCATATGTAACAATTTATGTGATTAATGCTAACCACGTAAGAGTCGACACTCTCACTTATCCTACTTAGTAAAATTTTAGTTCATCAAAATAGTATAAATATGCAACAATTTATATGGTAAACACTCTCACTTATTTTACAAAGTAAAATTCTAGTCCATCAAAATTGTATCATATGCAATAATTTATCTAGTAAGCATTGACTGGATAAGAGTCATCACTCTCACTTACATGATCAAACTCTCGGTCCTTGTCATCATTCTTACTGGGATAAGATTCTCGGTCATTTCTATGTTTATTTGGTAAGGTAAGTAATTCGGTAAGACTTACCGGGTAGGCATTTAGGGGCCATTTACAAAAGCTTACCCGGTAAGTGCTTATCTGGTAATTTTTCTTATCGATGAAAATGACAAGAGTCAAAAATCTTACCCGGTAAGAACAGTGATAAAGATGGAGAGTTCTTACTCGGTAAGTGAGAGTGACAACTCTTACCCGGGTAAATGCTTACCAGGTAAATTGTTGCATACGATACCATTTTGATGTACTACAATCTTACCCGGTAAAATAAATTATAGTGTTAACTCCTAACGGTAAGCGCTTACCGGGTAAGCATTTAGGTAAACGGTCCCTAAACAAAACGCTTACCCGGTAAGTGCTTATCGGGTAATTTTTTTTTACTGATGAACATGACAAGAGTCAAAAATCTTACCCGGTAAGAACAATGATAAAGATGGAGAGTTCTTACTCGGTAAGTGAGAGTGACGACTCTTACCTGGATAAGTGCTTACTAGGTAAATTCTTGCAAACGATACCATTTTGATGTACTGCAATCTTACCCGGTAAAATAAATTATAGTGTTAACTTCTAACGGTAAGCGCTTACTGGGTAAACATTTAGGTAACGGTCCCTTAGTAAACGATTGCTATATGAAAGACACATAACGACCAAATCATATATGATTTTATATTGGAATCACGTTATGGCCAGGTCGCCCATCCACCCTTACCACCTTTTCTATTGACCGTGTTTTATAATCAATGTAATTTCAGTGTAAGATCATATACAATTTAATTATTTCGTATTTTTTTTATATTCTTGTAATGAAATGTATTAAAATATAATCAAATTTGTTTTTTATTTTTATTTATTATTGTGACAAAGAATTGGTTAATGTAATAAATGTTTTATATTTATTTATTATAATGGATTTCAGCTTATGTGATATCAGATGTGTTAGAGTCTCACATCAATTAGACTTGGACAAATTTCATTCTATATATGTTAGAACCTCCCTTTTTTCTTTAAGGGCTCTTTTGAAGATTAATCTGAGGTTTCACATATTCTCACAGGATGATTTAACATGATAACTTTATATAATTTTTTTTTTACTTAACTGATAAAATTATTATTATATTGTACGATAAATAAACAAAGGTTGATCCTGCTTATTTTATGAATATCCAAAAACAATCTTTTCCTAAACTTTGTTGATTCAATAAACATCGAACTATAAGCTTAAATCGATTTTCCAGCAACTCAAATTTGGGATTAAAATTGGAAGTATCTGTATTCAAGCTTTGACTGTCTAGAATTCCAGATTACACAAGAAACCCGTAAATAAGAGTCTCAAACTCAAACGGGCAAGAAAAGACGATGGGCCAAACATAAAAGTTCAAACGAAAAATGTAAAAACATAGTAAAAAAACACAAAAGTGTCCAGAAACATGTTCAAACGACGTTTTTAGGCCTTTAAAATCTCGTAGGGCCCTTTTAGCCCTACCTTGGCAGTGCTCCTCCTTTCAAGCTTGAATAGATTGGTTATGAGCGTGAAACAAAATCATATAGCAAAAGTTTTGTATGTTTAAGCGTGCCATTTTTTGTTCGCTCGATCATGGCCTTCCAGGAATAATACGATCTGATACTTGACACAATGGTATGCATTAATTGTTATTTGGTGTATTTGGTTTTAAAATTTATTTAAATTTGTTTATGTTTGGAAATTGTGGAATTTTTTAAACGTATTATTGATTTACAATAAAAAAATTTAAATAAGATGCTTCAAAAAGTTGATGTCTCTTTTATTTTGATCATATTTAAAAGGATAAATTGTATGAAAAAATAACGTACTTTAACTTGATTTCTATTTTCATTAACGTACTTTTAAAAATTCTATTTTGGTACTTAAGATGTAAAGTTTTAAACATTTAAGTACCAGGTAACCGGTTGAAGCATTAATCGGTTACCATGCTGATGTGACGAGTGATCCTATATAGGTTGGGTTTACGTGAGACCAACTTGTTTTCATGAGACATGTGAGACCACTTTTTACACTTGAAATTTCACAGCAAACGTTGTGAAGATAAAAAAAAAGCTAAACCTTCACAATAAAAACACTGTGAAGGTTACATTCACAACATTTTGCTGTGAAGTTTCAAGTGTAAAAAAATGGTCTCATGGGTCTCACGAAAACAGACTGGTTTCATGTGATCCCAAGTATATATATATATTTTACCCAAAAAAAAAAGTATATATATATATATATATATATATATATGAATTCATTCAAGGAATAACTGATTAGCTTGTGGTAACCGTGAGATTCAATGTGAACCACTTGCTTTAGATATTTAATGATATTTCTTAAATAAACTAAAAAGGTAATATAGTAATTCAATTTTTGACACAGAATCAAATATTTAATTAGATTTTTTATAAGTAAATAATTTTTTTTTAAAATTAGTTACCTAGTATATCAATTAGCTAATATACATCGTATTTTAAAGACGTTTGTGAATCAAAATGTATCATAGTGATAACATTCACAATATTTCACGTGTATCGCAATGCATTTTCTTTGTTTTTATTAAATGTATCATAATGTGCATTTTCGTTATCTTCATTATTTTACAAAGGATATCACATTGTGCATCTTGTATGTATATCTACGTATCACATTGAATATCGCTTGTAAGTATCACAATGTGTATCTTGTGTTCACATAAGGTTCATTTTAATAAGGTTTGCCGAATAAGATTCACCGGAGAGAGAGAAAATGAGAAGAGATATTTATCAAATCCCTAAAATGCCTTTAATTAATAATATTTTAAGTTAAAATTACAAAAATTATTAATTTTCTAATTTAACCTTTGATTTGTGGTTGAGGTTGGATCTCACGATTACCAAAAAAACAGTTCTTATTTGATTAGACCCCCAACACACACACACATATATATATATCTATACTATATTATAAAGCATTTGACAAAAACTCTTAAAAACAACTTTTTATGCATAAAGTACTGTCTATTGATGCATATTACTTAAAATTCAAGATTACAAGTTGATTGTGCGTAGGTAAACTTATTAAAGCTTCATATTTGAATTCGTATAACTAACTGCGGATAAACATAATCAAATACACGATAAACATCATTTTAAATATAAAAAATTTAAAATATAATTAAGATAATCATTGATATCTAACAGAATACTTAAATATTATCTTAAATAAATTATTTTATTAGACCAAAAATAAATTAGTTTGTTTTTAAAATTCAATTAAATTATAATAAAATTTGAATTAAAGAAATTACACAAAAGAGAGAACTTTTAAATAATTAATTTGATACTAATATCACTTATTTTTATCAAAATTTTATAGTATCTTCAAATTTATATTTCATTCAAAAATAAAAATATTTTATTTTTCTTAAAATCACATAAAATCGTATTGTAACATTGATAGACCCAAAATATAAAGCGAAACATTAAAATTAAGATGTATCTCGCTGCATTGCGCGAGTATCTTCTAGTATATATATATATATATATATATATATATATATATATAGGAGCGTTCAAATAAAAACTTGACCCATTGTGTAAACCGTGTAAACCAATCTCATCCATTCATTTTTTTGATCAATGGCTAAGACTACATTACTTTATTTTAGGAAATTAAAAATTAAAAAATAATTAATATTTATTTTATTTCATCAATAAGGATAGAATCGGTAAACAAATTTAATTCATAGTATTTTTTATTCAAGACAACCATATCAGGTAAATTATATTATTAATGAAATTGATTCACTTTGTGAAGTATATATATATACTATTTTAATGTTAACATTTTTTAAAATAATATCCATCAATAAGTTATATCAAAATCAAAACACAACATATTCACTAATGTATAATGAATAATTTCATAAAAAATTAAAATAAATGATCAAATTTCGTTTTTCTTAATTTACTTGTAGACGGATTCGTTACATTTTAGTTAWTRAAWWWTTTTCRTTGTTTAATACGCTTATTAAATATTATGATTTTGCAATATCGAGTTTCATTATCCTCATTTGATATTGAAACTCATTCATATTTTGCAATGATGAATCGATTTTGTCTATGCATCGGTTTCATTTAGCATTTCATCTACTTAACCATTCACCTCCAGCATCATTGTTCATGTCTTAAAACGGTTCATGACTAATTGTTCA